TGGGATTTGGAAGGAAGAACAACGAGAACCTCCTCAACAATCTACATAGAGCTCTCTAATAACTAATACACGTTTCAATCAACTGACAGTTCACTAACCAGGACTGTCGCGCTTCCACTTCAATAATTTAACGTTTTCGACTGAACACTCTCCACTCTTATAGTTGGTAGCGTTTAACGGAATAAGTTAAGTTGAAAACAACAACTCACACTCAAGTCAATTTTGTTATTATTAATTTTTTTTAGATTTTCAACATGGCTGGACTCACCAGATCTCAACGTGCTGCTAGAGAACGTGTTGCTGCTGCTGCCCTTGCTAATGCTAATGCTGCTGATGCTGCTGCTGGTTCTAGTTCTGATTTAGTTACTGCTAATGCTGGTACTCAAACTGTCGATGAACAAACAAATTCACCCCTAGTCCAAGAACCATCAACTGATGAACATACCCCTACTCCTCACGTGACTACTCTTGTTCCTCAACATCAAGTCCCTCAAGATAATACTGTTGTTGCTGTTATGTCTGCAGTCTCTGATATGACTCACGCTATTACTGAAAGTTACCGTACTCAACATGCATTGGATATGGTCACTAGACTCGTTGCTGCCGGTCAATCTAAACCGTATAATGGTTCAAATAAGAAAGAGGTTTTCAAAGTTATGAAGGATTTGAAGGCTACATTAGAAAGATTTGAGGCCTGTAAGGAGGCTCCAATCCTTGCTACAGAGTATGTTGCCTTGTTTCATCAACATTTTGCAGGTGCAGCTCATAGCATGATGGCAGCTTTTATCACTAGAGAGTCTGCTAAGGGTCAAATTTCGATTCCTACTGTTATGGAATTTGTTGAGAAGCAATTAAGTTATCCAGACTTGTATTATGATTTATTACATGATCTAGCTAATTTTAAACAAATTACGGCTTTCCCGGCCTATAAACAAAGGTTTTATGAACTTGTTGAACGATTTGAGACTCCCATTGAGAAGAAATTACACGATCATATTGTGAGAAGATTCGCTGATGGCGCATTTAAAGACAATCAGTCGTATTTAAGGGCACATGTCAAAACTATTGATACTATCCCTACGGTTAATTTACCTCAACCTTTGGCTCTTGGTGATGCTAATCATTTTGGAAACAAAGGCAAATCATCAACCAAAACTAACAATCAAACCAACACCCAAACCGACAGTGATCAGTCTAAATCATCTGGTTCCTCTAACAACAAGTTTGGAAAACGGAAGGCAGCTGGTAGCCATGATGGTTCAAAAGCTAAGAAACAACAACACTTCTGTAAATTCCATAAACGGTACGTTGCACACACTTCTGATGAGTGTAAAATGGGGAACTCGGGTAAGCTGAATTCGCTGAAAGGTAAATCTGATAAGGACAAGGGAAAAGACTCTTCTGATTCAAAAAATTAGTTGAGTCCGGCCCCGAAGACTTTAAACTATGGGTAACGTTTGCTGCCATCAGTGTCCTGAATGATGACACCCCTGAATATATCGAAGTTGAGTTGCTGGGATTAAAACCTCAAGTTGCTTTATTAGATTCTGGGTGTACGGCTAATTTTATTCATCCTGAATTAGTTAGACGAGAAGATGTTAGGAAGTGTGACCCTAGGCCGGTTAAATGCTTGGATGGTACCTTTTTATGCACGGTGACTGAGTATGTTGACTTAGAATGGCAGCCCCATTTTGATAATCTACGCTTTTACCTAACTAAATTAAGTCCCATTCCTATCGTTTTGGGTAGTCGTGTTTCGAAGAAGTTTAGACCAGAGAGTTTGAAGTTAGTTGATCCTAATTTACACCAACATCTTGTATCGAGTACTTCGTCGTGTGATGAAGACATTTTATATAATAATATAAGATTGATTGAAGAAACTAATCGCTTACGCGAAATAACCTCTGGTGAATCTGTTACTGACGCAGTGCCACTTCAAGTAAAAACCCGCTTTACCTATAACCTGCCTGATATTGACTCCTTCCTTAAGAAACTCTTCAAGAGGTTTGCTAAGTATATTCATAACAATCCTATTACGCACAGAGTTCACAATAAATTTGTACATGAAATTGAACTCGAACCATTCAAAACTTTTCCAAATCGACCATTTTACCCTATGAAACAGGAACATGAAGCTGAACTAGAGAGACAGATCCAGAATTTTTTACAATTAGGTCTAGTTGAAGAAAGTCATTCACGCTTTGCCGCTCCTTGTATTTTGGTTGATAAACCTGATGGTTCTAAACGCTTATGTATCGATTACAGAGAGCTAAACAAAATTACAATTACTGATAAATTTCCATTACCTGTTATTGAAGATTTATTAACTGTTATTCATGATTCAACTTATTTTTCAAAACTTGATTTATCACTGGGTTATCATCAAATTAATGTTGCTGAGAAAGATAGACATAAAACTGCTTTCAGAACTCGCTTTGGTTTATATCAATGGAAGGTAATGCCCTTTGGCTTATGCAATGCTCCAGCTACATTCCAACGAGCAATGAATTCAATTTTCAAACAATATCTCAGGAAATTTGTTGTGGTTTACCTAGATGACATCTTAATCTTTAGCAAAAACAAAGAGGAACATAAACAACATCTCACTAAAGTTTTTGAAATCCTTGAAGAATACGGGTTAGTTGCTAAACAATCCAAATGTCAGTTCTTTTGTTCACAAATTCAATATTTAGGACACACTATTCTGAAAGGTAGAGTCAAGATTACCCCATCTAAGATTGATGCTGTTAGTGGATGGCAATTTCCAAAATCTAAAAGGGAAATGAAGTCTGCACTTGGTTTCGCTAGCTTCTGTCGGAAATCTATTCGAAATTTTTCATCAATTATTAGACCTTTAGCTGATTGGGCTATTCGAAACAAACGTATCAATAAAACATCTTTAGTGCAAACATTTGAAACACTTAAGAAAAGGTTGACTGAAGCTCCTACTTTGGTTACTCCTTCTCCAGATGCTGTCTACAAAATTACCACTGATGCAAGTGATTATTGTACTGGTGCTGTTATTGAAAAATTAGACTCTGCTGGAAAATCTGTCGGTGTTGTGGCTTATTTTTCAAAAGTCATGAACAAACATGAACTCAATTATCCACCACGTGAGAAAGAGTTCTTAGCTATCATTCGTGTATTGGAACGTCATAGGCACTTGTTACTTGGTCATAAGATTATCCTTGATACAGATCATGAATCATTACAATACATTCTTTCACATCCAAAACCTATTAGTCCAAAAATGGCTCGCTGGTTAGATTTTTTGGGAGAATTTGACATTGAAATTAACTACATTCGCGGAAAACACAATAAGGCTGATGCTTTAACACGTAGATGGCAAGATGCAATTCAATTCAATGCTATCTCTTTTCCACTTTTGACTCAATCATTAGGTGCAAATTTCTTTCAAGAATGTCGAAACCACTATGCTAAAACGGATAGGTCCAGAGAAACTTATGCAATCTTAAACGGTGAAATACCTGTACCTAAATCCAGGAAACGTTCAATCAAGAAATTCTCTTTGGAAGATGGTCTACTTTATTACCATGGATATGATCAAACTGGCTTATCAAGTCCTAGACTTTGGATTCCTACTACTGAATTACAGCTACATGTGATTAATCAACATCATTCATCTGTTTCCATGTTACACCCAGGTTTAGTCCCTACTTATATGGAACTCCAGAAATACTATTGGTGGCCAAACATGCATGAAACTGTTCGGTATTTTATTCGTCATTGTGAAACTTGTCAAGCAATAAAACCTCTGACACAACTTGGTTATGGTCTTTTACACCCAATTCCAATACCCACAAGACGTTGGCAATCAATTACAATGGACTTTATCTCAGGTTTTAAAGAAACTCAAGGTAAGAATCAGGTCTTAATTGTTGTCGACCGATTAACTAAACGTGCTCATTTTATTCCTTGTTCCAAGAATTTGACTGCACAAGAATGTGCTTCGTTGATCTTAAATGAAGTTATCAAACATCACGGAGTACCTGAAGAGATCATTACAGATCGAGATTCATTATTCACTTCACACTTTTGGCAAGAATTCTTTACAGATCTTCAAACCAAATTGAAATATTCCACCCCAAACCATCCTCAAACTGATGGCCAAACGGAACGAACCAATAGAACGTTTATACAACTTCTACGTGCTTTCAGTAACTATAGGGATACGCTTTGGTTAGACAAGCTACCTTTATTGGAATTCGCATATAATTATCGTTATCATTCATCAATCAAAATGTCCCCATTTGAAGCTGACTTAGGATATCAACCATTACCTCCCCATTTGGATGCTAATTTATTCGATTTTCCTGAAAGAAAGCGGAAAACCAGGGCAAACGAACTTGATTTGAATACTAAGATGGAACACTTAAACTTTTTGGTTAGTTGTCTACAAGATAATTTATTTGCTGCACAAGAAGAACAAGAAAAACACTATAACAAAGCACACCGAGAGCTTCTACTACAACCAGGTGACAAGGTTCTTTTACACCGAAACTCCAAAATCTTCGGTTATAGCTTTCGCTTCACCAAAGAAGATGAGCTTTATTATGGTCCCTTTGCGGTTATTAAGAAGTTCGAAGGTAATGACAATGCTTATGAGCTTGACTTAGGTCCTGCTTATCAAAGTAGATTGGTTAATGTTAAACACATGCGTCCATATCAAGACTCATTGTTCTATAAATTACAACCACCTACAACTTTTCAAGGCCTCATTAATGCTGGTCGTGCTAGAAATATTGAAGCTATTCGTGGTGTTGACATCATCAACCGATTAATGGCTTTAACGTTCAAGGACTGTGCACCTTTCCACGCTGCTATTTTCCCTGCAGCCGATGTTCGGCATGCTTTGCATCCAACATATTTTCAGGAGTTATTGGATCAATATTCATTACCCCTACAACAGGAGCCGGAGATTTACAATGCTGTTCAAAGTTTAGCTACTTAGTTATATCTTTATATCTTAAAGTTCTAATATACATTTATCATTGTTTTATCTTCCTCATGCTCTTACTCCAAGTGGTTTTTTATTTTTCATTTCCACTTCATATTTTTTGGACCCTGGTCCCCTGTTTTTTTTTTTTTTTTACGAACCCTTGTCTCGACTTAGCGTCGAAGCACAAAAAAGCCGTTCACACATTTTCATTAGTTTACAACTTTTTTTGCTGGTATCACGGAAGTTACTGACGGATGATAATTCGGAAACACCATCCCCATCTCCTTCAGAGTTGTGGAATCTTTCACAAAATCCACAAACCTCCCAGTTCACAAATGCATTCGACTACGCTGTTCCCTTAATCACCGGTTTGTTTTGTTCGACTCACCGTAAAACCCTTATGTCACGGCTACTACCGAGATCTTGGGCCCCTGGATCTGATCAATCGAGGACGCTTGATTTCGAGGGGTGGCAAATGTAAGGAGTGATTTCGCACTTTCCTATTTGGGCGAGTACAATGGAAAACTAAAA